AATTTTGTTTATAGCCCAACTGTTATGCACTTTTTAAAATGTGCTAGCTGTTGCTCAGTGGAATTTTGACAACTTGTTAAATCAGCATAGTTATGAATATTTCTTGTCATATCTATTCTAAATATGCATTTAGTGCATGCTTCATTTAGAGAAATTGACAAATAAGTCATTTATATGGTTGTACTTAATAAAATCTGAAAACAAAAGATTGTATTAATTTTTTTAGTAAATGCATTTCATTGGTATTTTAAATATATTTAATGTAGTAAATGCAAGTATATACAAACAAAGACTTCTTGAAATCATACTATAGTTTGTTATGGTGCAGTATTTAACTTTTCTATAAAGCAAATGACTGTGTTGTAAAAACTGCAAACTTTAAGTTGACTTGTCTAAAATTTCACTTCCATTAATAAAAACTATTGATTTGAATGTAATCAGATTATTCGGTACTTAAAAGCAAATGAGTTCATTAAACTTGATTTGAAAAAACTTGATTAATTTGTGTGTTACCAATTGAAGAATTTTTTTTTTAAGTTGGTCCAACAATTCTCTTTTTTCAGTGTAAGTGACCAAATAGTATTGGAGGAAAAGTTATTGAATAGTGTTGGAATAAAGTGATAAAATCGAGAAGGATTAAAATGTTCCAAGAGCTCAAATAACTTTAACAAAACATGTTTCAATCACACTGTATCGACAGAAAATACACAGGTTTATTGAATATGAATAACTTGTGTTAATTTAACTCAATTGTTCAAGTTGCTGCCAAAGCAAAACATCTGTGTGCAACCACTGTCCACTATTGAATTAAGTAAATCCAACATGTTCTTTTTTTCAGTGTACGAAATGTGAATTCGACTTGCTTTCAGTGAAGTGCGTGCGGATCCTGAGTTAGTCCTCTATCGTGCTGGTACTGAATGCTCTAGCTCCCTCTCACACGCACACAGCAGACACTATTAATAACACATCCGAACTGAACTAAGAATGCACTCGGTCCACAGACATTTTCAACTGCTGATTTTTTTTTTTTAATTCAGGTGAATATTTAGCTTCCGCAGTAAGTTTGTTAACGTTCCCTTGCCCAGCGAAAGTGGTCTCAAGCTGAGAGAGTCTCTTGAGTTCCTGCTGGGACCAGATCTGCAGCCGTCTGCCTTTCTTTTTGCTCGGTTGTGACGCTGCTGCTGTCCGTGCCTCATTGCATTCTGCGGGGTGCTGGTGTCATTCGTGCTGTGACAGACCGCTGATGGTTACCGCGCAGGCTGCACCCATGACCCCCAGCTGGGGGGATTAGGGAGGCCACCCCTTTGCACTCGGTGGAGTGGTTCAATATTGCTCTGGGGTTCTGGTCCGATTGTCACGATGCGGCCCTCCGGGGTGTTCACACTCTCAGGCACCGGCTCTACTGGGAGAGAGTGTTCTAGACCATAGCTGGATGCCTCCAGCTCAGAAGCAAGGGCATCATCCATAAGACATCACTCAGCAGGTGGTCTACAGATGCCCCAACCTGCAGCCAGTCTATTACGGACTCATCACCATCAGTTCCAGTTTCTGCCATCCCCTGCTCCTTGTAGGAGCTGTTCCATAAGGTGCTTGACCTTGGAACCAATACTGATGTATCCACCAGTCCAGTTAATGTGGTTTCCAATGTCAATCATCATACTCTGTCTATGTCCCCACAGACACGAATCACACTCTAGCCACAGCCGGTGTTTGTTGAGGTTGCACTGTCACTTTTCACCCTCCTCTCATCTGGGAAGTAACTGAAGTCCATTCGGACGCACACCTCCAGGTTCAGGAACAGTATCTATCAAACTCATGAACAATCAGTAACCTTGTGTCACCTCCACTGCTACCCACACATATATTTCTGTGTCTGTCTCTATTTATTCCTGGGATTATTATTATTATTTATTTACTTATTTATAATTCACTTTATCAATACATTCACTTGTCGTCCTGTTGTCTATCCATCTTGTTGTCTGTGTTCACTGTCTGCAGGAGCACATGCAAGCAAGCATTTCATTGTACACGGTACTCGTACTTTTACACATGACAATAAAAAAAAAAGAATTGAGGTCTTGCTCTAATGGACATAGACCTGACTTTGGGAGGTCTGCCCATGGCACATTGTTTGGCTGGGTCCCGTGCCATCCGGCATGAGTTTCCAGGGATACCGCTCATGTTATGTTGGTCTTGGTTACGTGGGATGGTGTCTGACGACCACCATGGTAGGAACGATGGAACATGTGTGTGTGCAGCCCTCTTAGCCAACCTAAGCTATTTCCAGCCTCGATTATTTCCAGCGTGAACCATGAGGAGAAGCCAACAAGTGAGTCATAGTTACTCCCGCTATCTCTTAACGTTCCAGCGTGTTTCCCGAAACGTTCTTAGTTAAGTATATCTTCTGTAAGATGTTCTTTCATAAGGTTGGTCTGAGCTACTCTTAGCTGTCTCTTCCGGAGGGTTGCCAATGTTGGGGTGGACGCGTTCCCCCTATTTCCGATGTCCCTGCAATGCACACATCTCTCCAAATGTGACATTATCGATATACACTCAAGTACTGTCTTTCTCAGTTCTACCAGTTTATAGGTCTCACAATAGGTTGTTTCTCTACAGTATGTACATGAAATGGTAATGGGTCCTATCTGAGACTTCTGTGTAGCGCAGTGTCCTGTAAACTGAATCAACGGGCTAAGCGTACAAATTATCTGCCAAGGAACCAAATCAATGTATTTCAAAGTTTTCCTTCACAGGAATACAATCAAATTTAAGCAGTTCGATGAACACTTAAACACCGCTTACAGGAATTTCTCTGACAAATTACGTAAAGCCTAACGCTGGAACACAAAAGAGAACACAACATAGAATATGTGCATATAAGCAACGGAAAATGCTTCAGGAGATGCTAATGCTAAATTCAATGAAGCTCAGGAAGAACATACTTCATTTCAAATATTACTGTGTAGCCAAAAAGATAAAAATGTCAGCCAATCTCTTGGGGGAAATGTTAGGTTGATTGTTTTCACTTCTTACAAATGACAATGATTCCGCAAAATATAGAGTAGCTGGTTTGTTTATATTCACACAGGCTTTTAAGCATGGTTGTTTTAAATGAACCACAAATATATTGCTATTTATGTCACTCTGCTTTGGATTTTCTTCACCACCTTAAATACCCCCATACTACTCAAATAAACATTTGTGTGTTCATTCCTACTCCTTCCCAGTGTAAAATAATGCAAAACTTATGACTGAGCAACTAACTTTGCATGGCAGTGCACTTCTGCGAACACTGACATTATCTGTCCAGCAGAGGGCTCCCTTTTCCTGGAAGCCCCTCAAACTGATCATGGTGCTGTAGGTGGTCTGTACTGAATGCTTTGTCCCTTTCACTGCTTGCTCATGCTGCTTCCTTAGAATTGTCAATTTCCTCTGCTGATTCCCCTAATTCAAACCCAGACTAAGTGCGGAGTGACAAACAGAAACACAGCATGCCCTGTGGTGTGAGGACATGCTATGTAATATCAAATTCTTTTGGTGCTGAATGTCCTTGTTCTTCTGCATAGTGTGAAAATCATCTTTGCAGTTAACGGGTTAACCTTTGTTCGTTAATCAAATTAGCAAAATTTAAAAATTAAGCCCCGGTAGTGCATACAAAGCAGTTACTTAAATATTTAATTCATCTACCTTCTTGTACAAGGTCACAGAGACACTGGAGCCCAGAAAGCAAAAGGAACAATACAGATGAACAGCTTGCTGCAGGACACACACACACATCAAGGTACCATGCCACCCGCAGATATTTTTGTAGGGAATATTATTAAAAGTAGACAATAACGCTGAATAAACTGATAGAAAGTACAATTTAAAAATGGCACATTCAAAAAAATAAGTTTTGCTGAATCAGTGTTCCACTGAAAATTGGAATAAGGATTATGATGAAATCAATAAGGAATACAATGATTTAAACAGTAATAAAGCATATCTTTATTTACAGTATAAGATATATTTACACTAAACTGTTAAATTCCAATGCTCAGTATGGAAAGAACTCTCAACGCTTCGCAATGAACCGTAATACAAAGCCAGTATAGTGAACCTTATTAACTGGAGGTAAGATAATTAAACAGTTTGTGTCAAAACATTGAGGGGATTCTTGTACTGGATGCTTGTGGGCCCGTGACACTGACAGAACCCCATGCCTAGGCGGAGCTGGGTGATCTGGATGGTCACAGTGAAAATCAGCGATTAGTAATGGGAAAAGAATGTTCACTGCCCGCAGCCATAATTGCTTCTTGGGGCCATAACCCTCCCAGTCGCCCAGGTACTGGAGCTGCCCATCGCAGCGATGGGAATCAAAGGGCTGTATTTTCCAAAGCGCGACGCAAAGTGGTTTTGTTAGTTTCATACAGTACCAGCGCATGCGTGCACGTCGTTAAAACAGCAGATGATTTTGTGCCCGCTTCCCCCTCGCATTGTGTGTACGTTGCTGTTATAAGGCAGCGCAAGGTCATTGCGCTTTTGACCAACAAAAACCACAGGTAAAATCAGTGACGCATTGCTAAATGGTATTAATGCGGTGAGTTTAGAAACGTCCCAGTGCACGACGCTCGTTATTGACACAGATACAGACTCAAAGTAAACTAATGGTATTTTGTTATTTTATTTCATTTATATGCGCTTTATTACGGCGTACAACTGGTCCTTTCACATAATCATACTGTTCAATAAAACACCAAAAGAAAAACAATACATATTAAGTAAAGAACAAACCGTATCATTTAAAAACCTTTCGAGTTCTTTATCAAAATTAAGCACTCACTGTAATTGAAAGGACATTTGGATTGTTGAAAATGCGTTTCAGGTGGAACATTACAATACAGCATTCAGAAGGTCACGGCATTCTTTATGGCGTGGTGTTTGTTGCACAACATTGCCCTGTGTGGTGGATGTCTGCTTGACATAAATAAAGACACATTAGAGGACTTTAGAAGGCGTGATACTGAACTGCATACGCTGATGCCAACAAAGGACCGTACACCGGCAGCAGCAGCACGGGCAAGGAGGGATCAGCTGGCAGAAGACCTGAATCGTCTGTAGCCTGGTAAGGAACCGAAATTGTGAGATTAGCCTAGCTATTTCCTTTTATTTGGACATTTCAAACATCTTAAAACTGTAGGTTGTGTTTTGTTTGAACAAAGATCGCACTTGTATTTACATTTTGCGAACTGCAGACCCAGAATTAAAATAAAACATACACGCATAATGAAGTCCCCGTTCCAAGCTGCTGCTCTCGTTCAGCAGCTGACTTCCCCGTCTTCTGACATCATTATATAGAATAAGAACATGTTGAATAAGAAAGTAAAATAAATACAAATAAAAATAAAAGAATAAGGAAAATAATAATAAAAAATGATACTTTATTGCTTTTGCTTTTCCATATTGCTATCGCCTGTTGCTTTTACTTTTGCCCAATTGCTCTTACTTTTACCGCATTGCTTTGACGTTCGCCTGTTGCTTTTAATATTGCATTGCTTTTCATTTTACCGTATTTTTTTTTTGCTTTTCCCGGAAGGGATAAGCTGTTTGGTTTTTCGGCCGTCAAAATAGTGAAATGGATTTGGACACGTGACTGTTATTTCTGCTTTGCGCTTTATGCTTTGCGTTAGATCGTCAAAATAGAGCGCAAGGAGTGTTGACGGTGCAGGCCGGTTCGCCGCTGACACCCGAAGGGGGGGGGGGGGTTAACTGGGAGGTGCATGGGTCTATACTGGGTTGGCTTCAATACGAACACATGGAACATAGGGTACTGAGGTGGCAGCTGGAAGTGAAAGGTGACCAAGATGATGCATACTCCACCCAGACCCTGTGAACTGTGGATCCTGATCTGACACAACGTTCTAAGATGCTCCAAAGAACCAAATGAACCGGCTGAATAAAAACTCTGCCAACTGTGTAGTGGTGGGATGAGCCGGAAGCAGGACTAAATGGCACATTTTTGAGAATAGGTCCATGATAAAATGAACTTTTCCTATTTGAAGGAGGCAGATTGGTGAAAATCTAGGGCTACATGAGACCAGGGCTGGTGTGGAGCAGCTGTATCTTTCCATCAGGTAACTGCTGTAGAAATTTACTGACATCTGTAACGTCATCCATGGCAAAGGGCCACCAGATCCACAAGGTAAGCAGTTCCTGCATCTTGGTGTTACTGGGATGGCGAGTACTCAGTGCAGTATGCACCCACTGCATGAGGTGTCGCCAAATCGAAGCTGGAAACAAACTGTTTGTTTGAAGGAGTCTCTGTACCTTTGGACTGTAGCGTGTCCTGAATGTTTTCCTGATTCTCCCATATGATTGGTGCCACTACGCAGGATGAGGGTAAGATGGTACTGTATCTGAATTAGGCTTCCAAACTGCCTAGACAACACATCTACCTTTGTGTTTTCTGTGTCTGGTCTATGGGTGACTGTGAATTTGAACCAGGTAAAAAAAAACAGTGCCCATTTAGCCTGCCTAGGAGTCAACAATTTTGCTCCTCAGTTGAATTCATCTAATTTTATCGCAAGTATTTCCTGGTTCTCCACAGCATAATTCTTGTCGGTGAGATCTTACATGAACAGTGGTCACAAGGATTCAGCTTACCAGGATCCCCCTGATGTTGGGGTAACACAACTCCTACCCCTATGTTGTTATCCACCTCTGCTACAAAGAGTAAATCTGGGTCCGGTTGTCAGAGGACCAAGGCAAAAACAATAGATTTTTGACTGATTGAATGCAGTAATAGCTAGATCAGACCTCAACAGCAACTTCTAAGGTTTTTTTAAACATGGCTGTTAGCAAGGCTGCTATGGAACTAAAATTCCACTTTACTTGAGGGGGCATGAATAATGTAGTAGTACATACTTACTTAATGCATTAATTAACCAGTAACTAAGTGTTAGTACTGATCCCATGCTTGTTCATCATTTATTAGTCATGACAGTTCAGGCACAGTTCATTCAGGCACTATATTCATCAACAGTTAACTAATTAGTTAATAATGGTAAAACTTCTCTTGAGAAGCAAGAATTACTTAACTTATGTAATATTCAAAAACAAATCATGAACTAATCTAGGTTTCCCCATGGAATACATGAACTCTCATGACTTATTAATGATTAATGAACATGGGATCAGTGCTTAAACACTTAGTTGCTGGTTAATTAATGTCTCCTCAAGTAGTGTTACCACAATTCCTAATAAACCAGCTGTATTATGGGTAAAACCTGACATTTATTGTATGCTCATGATTAAAATTAGACCATTTTTTGTAGGTGACAGGACTGTAAAGTATTACTGGATTACAAGTTCAATTCATCAGTAAATCATTTTGACATTTAATTACTTGATCCTCAGCCTGAAGGACTGTTTTTCTCCAAGTAATTTGTAGCTTTTATAGTTTTTTATAGGTTTTGTTTTCTTGTGTTACCTGTGCTTTCCTCATGTGTGGTTTCAGCTCTTGTTCGTCATCATTTTACCTTCCTGCCTTTGTTTGACCCATCATGGTTCATTTTGTTTCTGGTTTCTCATGTCTTCAGGTCCCAATTGAACCCTTTGTCAAGCAGTTGCGCCGTGAATTGTCCCTTCAGTCATGTTGCATTGTAACAGAAAGGTAAGCTAACTTGCCTTATTGAAAACAAAATGTGTCATACTTTGAAGTACATTGCAGCTGCTGGTTAAGGAGGTCAAAAAACACTGGTGGTTGCAGTGTTAAGTAATTGAATATTAAATTCATGCATTGATGTACAGCTGTGATTGGCCTGGGTGATGCTACATATGTAGTAAAAGAAAAATAATCAACCCCCTATTGATCAATCAGATTTGAGAATTAAATAGTGCCATTGTATAATCACTTATAAACATGTCATGAGCTGGTACTTTTTGAATTTGGTGATCAGTGGTCATTGTTGACACACCACAATGAAATATGCCCTCTGCATTTAACCCATATGTGACATCATGAAATAGCGGGGGGCAGCTAATTCAGCACCCAGGGGAGCAGTGCTTGGGGGCAGTACCTTACTCAGGGTACCTTAGTGGTGCCTTGCTGGTTTGGGATTCTAACCAGTAATCTTTCAATTACAAGTGCGCTTCCCTAACCATTAAGACACCACTGCCCAACCATGGTTTTGAGACCTCTTGTAAGTGGTGAATGAGTCAATAAAATCTCTTGTCCTCCATAATGGCTGATTATCTAATTCAATTATTTCTATTTTTGTAGTAGATTAGCTCTAGTACTGCTAACTTTTAACATTGATTAAGTTTAAATATTGGGCATCTATATCGGCCAAGATCAACACATCAGACCAATGCCCCAATATGTTAACTAATAAATCGTGCATCTCTAAGACTAACATTAATTTTTACATAGCTAACTAGTTATGGAATCAGATTTGTCCCAATATTATCAAACAAAACTTTTTTGACATTAAGCAAAAACAAGGCTTCGAGAAGAAAAAAACTGAACCAAAAGACATGTCATCTCAAAAGTAAAATTTATAACTTGCAAACACATGATTGGTCTTCTGATAATGTTTTCCTTTGTTTACGCTGCCAGCTTTCTCGCTTGCGCTCCCTGAGTTTTTATTTACAATTATGACACAAACTTCTCGCGTGGGCGGGTTTTTTCAGGGACTGACAGGTCAGTGCCACGGACATTTTTAACAGCAGGACTGGACATTCACTACCCACTAACTAATTTTTACTGGATCCGACAAGATTAACAAAGTGTAAGTGTTGATGCTGTTAGTGCTGCACTATACATTTTATTGTGCTAAATTAGAAGTAAAGTTAAGCTTGGCTATGTAATTTAGCTTTTGACTAATTAACGTTAGCTAACTTGCAAAGTTTTGCTCGATAATATTGACACAAATCTGATTCCATACCTAGTTACCTCAAAGTCTTAAGCATTGCTACTGTAACTACCAAAAAGATACTTTTTTGCACTACAAAGGAGCATCATAGAGCAATGATCATCACTGTGGTGCTTCCGTTTTGAATATTAACTTGCCTTCCCCTGCCATCCTACATGTTGGAAATTTGTGTGCTAGCACTGTTACTTTGCCCACCTACCTGCAAAGCAAAAGTGTGCAGCCTGGAAGCAGCGGTATCTTTATGGAGGATTTCACCCCAAAAAGCTGATCATAAATAATTCTGACATTACAGATCAATGCAGTTGAATCGGCACCTTAATAACTGATCCATCACGATGCATTGATGTATCTTTACACCCCTACTCTACAATATTCCTGGGAAGTTTGAAAATGCTAAGTCAGCACCCCTCAAAAGGTGGTGCCCCTTGAAACGATGTCGCTCTGGGCAATTGCCCATGTTGCCCTTGCTAGGATATATGCCCATGTTTGTGTGTAGCCTGCTTCACCAAGAAAAGCAATTATTGCCCGTTGATCGCTGTCAGAAACAAGACACAGGTACGTTACTTCTCTGCCATCATCCATTACCGATCATGTTGTCAAATCGCACATGGCTACTGCTTGTAAATTGAACAACATTATAATGTAATATTGTAGTGCTGGGCATTTCCTGGCAGCCGAACAGTGCAATTGCTGCTGTATGTGTGTGTTCCGGGTGACGCTAGCTCGTGTCTCCCCGCCTATACATGATAGATCATTTGCACTTCCCCACATGCACCACTCCCCCTATACCCAATGGCCAATGTTAGCCCCGTGACTTGAGTCTTCCCCCCACCGTGTGTTAATGCGTCAGTAAAATGTAAGACCCTTCCTGCATTTCCACCAGTCAGCGGCTGTGTAGTGAGTTTAGTTCTTGGTTTGTCTTGCGGCCTTTTCAGGGTGATTTGATAAAAAGCGTTGTATTGTTCTGTTTGCTTCACAATGTTTTTGCCAGTAAGGCACCACAATATGAAGTTCTGTTGTTATATTTGTTGCAGTTTATTTTTGATAGGAGGTCTAATACCTGCAAAGTAGTATTTTAATTTAAACTCTTTGCTTTAATTAGGCACAGATGTTTTTAGAACAGAAAATGATTAGACAAAAATAAACCAAAAACAATCTAGGTAATAATGTGAATTTGCAGCATCATATTAAATAACCAAGGACATATTAAACTTACATTATTTAGTAGATGATTTTGTCCAAAAATAACATGAAAATGAGGCAGATAATACATACTACAAGCATGCGGTAGTTAAGTAGCAAACTAGGCATAAATCCAGCTAGGCTGAGCTTCTCATGAATGACCAGTGAGAACTGCAAGTCAGCAATGAAGCAAGAGCTGTACTGTATGCTACAAATATCGAAGAGTGTAATAAAGAGCATTCTGGATATGCAATATCCAATGCATGATGGGTAAACATAATTTAAGTAGACCATGTGAAGCATTTACAATCCTAAAATGCCCACCATGAAGCAAACATGTAGTACACTTTGATTTTTTTTAATTAAAAAAAAATGTTAATACATTAAACAAGCATATTATGCTATTTAGTTGAAAAAAAATAATGATTGACTAGTAGGAATGTTAGTGGTTACTAAACTTGTATGAGAGCCACTGGAAATTAAATTCATAATTAATTTCTATAAGGTTTATTCATACGGACTCTCTGTGTCCCCTCCCCCTTTAGAAGTTAAATGTCAGATTTCAAGGACGTGCAGTAGAATTTAATCAGAGAGCATGAAAGTGAAGTCAAAGAGTAACATAAAAAGCAGAGGAGCTCATTATTCCATTGAAAGGGAAGCCGATGGCTTTCATGGTTGCTATGGAAACAGGCCTTTTTCTTACAGTCACACTGCTGATAAGGTACTTCACTGGACTACACAATTATAAAGAGGTAAAAATGAAAATATTGCTTTTCTGTATTAATACATGTTAGGTATTGCTTTGGAGAGTGATCAATATATACTCACATTCTAGCTGTTTTGCTTGCGCTTCTCTGACTGTTTGACTAAGTGGAAATTTAGCTTTAAACCCACCATAGGCCTCAAACCCTGTAACCCAGTCCCCTTTGTGTCAAACACTCTCCTAAATGTACAAGATTGGGTATGATAAAAAGCACTAAATTGGGCATGGGATGGCTATTTTTAAAATGTACACAAGGAAAACACTTTTTTCTTTTTAAGAAACCTGCTTTTCAAGGTTTTGTTTCACAGTAATGTAGTAATATTACAAGCAGGACATAGTAAATTAATAAATTTAATGAAATTATATCTATACTGTTTCTCACATCGTGTCACAGTGGCGATGTAGCTCCCATCTTAATTCAAGCTTGGAGTAGGGTTGTGACGATGAGGAAATTTCCCCACCGGTTAATGGACATGTGACAACACCGGTAATACCGGTATCACCGTGGGGGTGGGGGTTTCCTCTTTTCCTCTTTTTTTCCTGCTTTTAAATAGCTTATAAATGCATGCGTATTATACTTTCACTTTTAGTTTTGCGGGAATTGGCAATTCGGCGTCAATTGTTTGAATGGACGACAACGAAACTACAATAAAAAAATCACTGATATTAAACAGAACTTTTATTAACATAACACAACAAAAAACACAACAATGCTACAGGCTGAAAAAACTGTGGAAGTTGGAACCAAACAAATAACAACCATAGAACGTTTATTACGTAGCCTATGTTAGAACGTTTTTAAAACGAATAAGAAAATAAAATAGAAAGATAAATAAATAAAGTTTACATGAGATTAAACGAATGAACAAGAAACGAATATAAAAGAAAAACTTCCAAAATGACATTAGGCCACAAAAATGACAAGTCAGCAGTCTTTAAAAAAAAAAAAAACCTAGGGGACGGTATCACGGTGGAAAAGTGATGTCACCTGTGTAATTGCGTCTTAAAACCGGTAACACCGTCAACACCGTCTATCGTGGCAAGCCTATCTTGGAGGTTTAAATCCAAGCTCTGGCGTGTCTGTAGGGGGGTTACTGTTCTCCCTGCATCATGTGGGTTTCCTGCCGCAGTCAAATTGGCACAAAATTGATCAGCCTAATTCGTATTGAAACCCCCCCCCCCCCCATCCTGTATCCAGGTACAGATGTCGACAAATTTGTTGGTATCCTTCCACAAAAAACAAAAAAACACAACTATCTCTGAAATAACTTTAAACTGATAAAAGTTTAACGACATGCCTTATTGTTTATTCCATGTTTAACACAAATCAGACTTTGCTTTGATTTTTGATTCAGCTGAATATTTCATATAATTAAACAAATGAAAATGGCACAGAGAAAAAAGATGGTAGCCTTAATTTAGTGTTTTGTGGCACCACCTTTTGCAGTAATCACTGCCAACAAGCCATCTCTGTACTTCACAATGGGCGTTTTTCCACCGCACCAGGTACCGTATTTTCAGTACTTCCATAAAGTGCCGAAAGTATGGTACTTCTTTCGTGTCGGTTTTCCACTGGCGTAAAAAATTGTACCGGTGTTCTGACGAATTGAGCTACTTTGTCGAGTTAGGCTACCGTAGTGCTAATCGATAGCCCTAACCCTAACCTTAACCCCCCCAAAACCCCTAAACCCTTACCTTAACCCTAACCCCTAAAACCTAACCCTAACCCCTAAAACCTAACCCTAATCCTAAAACGGTGGAACTG